TGCTGGAAAAACTGGTTATTTTAGGTGAACTGCTTTTTATTTTGCATCAAAGGCTTCACTTTAAATAAAGTGTAATTTTGTTTTAGAGGGAATTATTTTGGTGATTTCATTAATATTGTGGTTATTTTTTTGTATGTAGAAAGGAGTGTATTTTAGGATAAAATGAAACTTTGTTTTGCAGCAAGGTTTACCTTTAAGAAATAGGCTTTTATTTCAGAGGTGGTATTTTGGTTTTTTTATTATTTTATGATATGCTTATAGGGCTTTGTTTTTTTGGGGTGCTCAATGTGCTCCACACATGCACCGACCATGCTTTGCAAGTCAATTATCGTATTCCATAGAAATTAGTCATTGTATTTTTTTCTTAAATTAATCATTTTTAGGTGAAATGTTAATATCTGTACAATTTCTTTAAGTGAACGATGTTCAAACAGGAAACATTATAATAGAATTGTCCGGAGAGATAAGGCACATTGCCAGCTGGGGATAATGTACATTGCCAGCATAGGCATGCACCAAAAAACTTTACTGAAGTACACAGCGCATATATAGCATGTCCTGCCCCTTTCTCCTTTCTTCCACTCCTCCTGCCAGCAATTAAAATGATGGCCCAGACTGACTGAGTAATACACCAGTAGCTGCAGTGGCTGCTGTCAAATATTGATCCTCTAAACAGTCTTGGTTAGAACTTTTCAGAAGAACAATGTAATTTTATTACATTGTTGATTGACCTTTGATCTCCACATGATATCAGTCAATGCAACTTCTCAGGTAAAAAATGCAGAAATGTAAAAGTTGCTCTGGTACATAGGAAGTATATTGGTGTGAGACATTAGTGTAGAATTTGCTAGCTATGCTTATGGAACCCGTACAATATGAATATGTACAATCACACATATAATTCTATGAGCAAAATGTGCAAAAATGATTTATCTCTACTCAATTCTTTTTCTTGTAGTAACTCTTTTAGGCTCAATGGCTTAATCCTCATTATTGATCCAAGTTTACATTATGGACCTACCTCATCACCAACCTTCCATGTTATGGCGTTAGTATTAATTTGAAGTTGCTGATCTTCTGGTGCCCAGGATGTAAAATTTCCAACATCGTTATAAATCACAGTCTCTTTATCCTTATGTATCCAATTTGTTATTTTGTAGTGATAAACAAATTCTCCGTGTTTATTAAAAAATGGCGCCGGCTCACTTAAGCCAAATGCATATTTAACTTTTCTTAGATATTGATGCAACTTCAACATGAATATAGAAGGAAAAAACAAACTTGGGTTAAAAAAGGAATAGCAATCTGTCACTGGGAAATCATTTCTAAATACTGACCTTTAAGATTTTTTCTAAAGCCTTGGTCAATATTCGTCGACTAGTTAAATTCCCATAAATTATCAAAGCTGACCAAGTTGGATTTATCAAAAGGCACCCGAAGTAACATGCAGGCTGTTACATTTCATTAGACATTTGAAAATGTACCCATCCTTGTTATTGACAATAGATTCTTAAAGTAGCCTTTGACAGGATCCATTAGGACTATATGAAACATATCCTCCAAAAATGTGGTGTTATAGGATCCCTCTTTTCAACTATTTTAGATCTGAAATCCATGGATTCAGCTCAAGTATATGCCTCAGGAAGTTTATTTCACATATTTTTGATTACAAATGGCAGGATTCTGGGCTGCCCTCTGTCTCAATTAATATTTGCCCTTATAATGGAGCCTTTACCAGAACGTGTACAATCTAACAGCCAGATTAGCAGTGTCTCCCTCTGAGATTAGTCAAGCAAAACAGATGACAAACGCACTCATCAATTCGTCACCAGCTTTACAGCAAGGTGCACACGGAATGGGCTTTAAACAGTCAAACAGCAAAACGTTTTCCTGGCACACTCACAAGCCAGCATGTAAAAAACCTGTCTAACACTAAGGTTAAAAACAGAGGTTTGGATACACGTCTTCTGCAGAAAATGTGAAAGCTGCACAGCCGCGCCAAGGCACCTCTTATAGTGTATCCAAACCTCTTTGCAGTTCAGCGATGTTGTCCTAGATTGTTCACTTCTCCTGTATTCTCCAAACTCTTCACCCTTGTGTGAAGAACCCTGCTAGATTTTGAATATTGGGATTATTCAGGGAATACAAAATGTTTTACAGACATACATTCTACCCCTTTCTTTTGGTATTCCCCTAGTATCAGATATCTAGGTATAGAACTCACAAGTCCGTCTACCTTG